GTCTACCTTCTTGACGGACACAGAGTCACCTGCTGGTCTTTGCCAAATGTTTTTTAAGGTTAACTCTCAATTAAAAACATTGCTCCAGCTAACAGTTGGTGTGAAAAAAAGTAGAATATATCCCTCAGCGAAGGAGAATGGATACAGTGTATGAAGAAAGTGACTTTTTAGCACTGCTTCGGTAAAGGATCTGAACAGCTCTGTGATGGTTTGTGGATCAGACATACAGATGATATATGCTGCAGTATACTGTATAGAGCTGCTGCTGGCCGGCCAGGACTCTGCTCTGCCAGGCTTGTGAGCCGGGGGGGTTCCAGCTGGAGGAGCTCTCTGATCTGCTGTCAGACAGACGGCAGGCTCACTCTCCCCTGCCCTGATAACTTCCTCAGCTCTCTATTATTCTTCTTCTCTACCCAGTCAAGCCTCTTTTCTTTTTTCTTTTTTTTTTACTTCTCTATCCCCCTCCCCTCGCTCTGTCTCTCTTTTTCAACTTAATAATGGAATCGAGTAGCCCCTCCAGAGCAAGCAGCAATGCTGGCTGCTGGTGGAGGATTGCTGCTGGATTTTCAACGAGCATGTGTCAATCAGCAGGTATAGGAGCACTTGTGGAGTCAATTTGGCATGGAGGAGTGGAGCTATATTACTGTGTGCCAGGGAATATGAAATGCTCCTCGGTGGGACAGAAGTGCTGAAATACAGCATATGAGCACAGAAGATTGCAGCCTAAAATGGAGATTTTTCAGATACTGCACAACTCATAGTATCATTGTAGAGCTAGCTAAAGCTCTATGCTTACCATTCATAACACTCTATTGATCCCATGATCAGCATCTACACATTCATCTAATCACATTCTCACCATAGAGGATTCACAATAGCTGTTCTATGCCACTGAATGTAATGTTCATCCTTATGAGTAACTTTGTTTACAATTCACTGACTCTGACCTCACTAAGAGTTACACTTTTCCCACATGAGGCTGTTACCTTGACAACATATTTTCTTTGGAGACAGTCATGTGAAGTCATTCCCCTGCCATGTGAATGTAATCAGCAACCATAACTGAGTTAGGGCCTAAAGAATCCTTTTAATCACATTAGCCATTTAGCAAAACTGGATTAGAGGAACAAAATCTTTGTTGAGCAGCTCAAGGTCTTCTCAATCAACTGGTACAGCTTGATCCTCTGATCAGTTTGATGTTGGATCCTTTCAGAGTATTTGTGTGCCGAATCATGGAGCACATCCAGGCGGGGGCGGGGAGACATTCAAAACGTTCTCTTGCTGGGTTCTAATCTGCAATTTGTTGTCAAAAAGGAAACAGTGCAGCCATTTGTTTTTCTGATCCGAGGGCCTGAATTTAACCCCCATTGTTTTTATGACTGACCTGTGTTAAAGAGATTAGGGCTATGGGGCTAACCCTAATACATAACCCAAATAGCTCAATGGCTATCAGGGTTATGCTGAAAACAGATTAGGCTAGATTAAGAAGCATAACTGTTTTGACACTTTTGTTCATTGTCTTGTCAGCTTGTCAGCTTTTTAGATTTTATAATTTGCTTTAGGTTCAAATTTCCTCGTCTTTTAATCCGAACTTCAGCATGTTGTTAGCATGTTAAAGCTTCATTTTTATTGTCTACATCGAAATGTCTAAAAGAACATGTTTTGTTGACTTCTGTGCATAAAAAACAAACATAACAGAAACTAGTGCATACTGCATTCAGTGATTGTTTTTCAAACTCTACCTATCTTGTAACCCTGTCTTATAACCTAGCAGACAGAGCACTTGTCTTGTAACACTGAAGCGCTGAATATGCTGTGGACAAGATAACAAGATGATTATGTTTTGTTTTTGGGTGCACATTGAGACAAGTACTTAAGTACATTTAATCCACCAGAGAAAGGGCAATGGCTTTATATTGTCAGGAAATTCATTTAAGAAGATATTCTGAAAAGGGAAGAGAATAGGAGAACAATCAAAGAGGATCTCTCAGACAAGAAGGCAATCTAATTACGTTCTTTTTTACAGTACTGACAAAAAAATATTTATAGTTCTCTTCATGTAAGGAAGAAGAAAGGGTAAGTTTCACATTTGAATCTGATCTGGTTCACCTGTGTTTAACCTCTACTTGACTGTAAAATGGACTCACATAAAGTAAACTCCATTCACAGAGAAGGGAATAGCTTTTTATGTCTGTGCTTGTATTTATCAATGAGAGGCTGTTTGATAGCAGAGAATATTAGTTGCAGAGAAACAATTGGCTCCATGTCCTCCTCAGCCGAGGGTTAAGTACAGCAGCAAATTCCTGCCAAAGACCTCTTTTTATTTTGAGACACTTTTCATGTTTGCATTTTTCTCCTTTGATAAGGACTTTCATCCTGTTTTCATTGATTACCGTCTGATGACTCATCCTGATTATACAGTGCAGCCAATTCATCTCTCCACCACACACTGTGGGCCCTTTGTTGCCTGGAATGTGTGTGTATGTGTGTGAATTTCCGCCTCCTGCTTGTGAATGACGTTTTACCCCCAATACACTGCGCATGTGTGTTTGTTTGTGAATGTGCAGAATGTCTGTGTGCATCTCCATATAAACAGCACGCCACAGTACCCTGAAGTGTACGTTGCTGCAATACAAAGCCCGGCCTCTGCAGTAACAGGGCCCTCGTTTTCTGCCTCATGAACAGAAAAAGTAAGCCTGCATGAGAGAGAAAATGGCCGAGTCATTTATTAACTCAGAGTCACATTAATGACCAATACTGTGTAATCTCCAAATGCGTTCATGATAAATCGCTCCAACAGGTCGTTGATCTTTGCCTTGTTCTGCGCCTTCAAAAACCCTGATTTCAAAAAGTGCCTTAGTGGAGTGTTTTTTTTTTTTTTTCACAGAATGTGGAGTATGAAATTTGGACAATAACCAAAAGAGTTCTTGTGATGTGAAGGAAGAAATCCTTCTCAAGAGCTTTATCTGATTTGGAAAGAGAGTTTCAGTTCAAAATGGCAGGAGTGAGGACAATCCCTGCTCTGTCAAGAATTAGAGCCACCTCTGCAAATAGGCCAGTGTGTAATGCCTGGGGGTGGGAGCTTCACTGCGGCTGGGGTTTCCGTGTAAATAAACAGTGTGGGGGTCTCAGTGGGCGGACAGACCCCTTACTCCCTGGGGTTTGGCCCGGCCTTTTGTTGCCTTTAATCCAAGCACTCTCTATTGAAAAGCATGAGGGGGTGCCTGGCTGAGATTAGCCCGCCGGCTCTTGTGTGTGCTTGAGTTTTTTTTTTTCTCACAGACTGCCTTCATACATTTGGAAATAACACAGTTATGCCACATCCTCAAGGTGGCTGACAAGAATGACAAGTAAGACGACTGCTGGGCAATCTCAGACCTTAACATGACAATATGACCTCAGCATTCCTGAAAAACCTCTCCTGTGAAGCAGCCACATTATACATGCTCAAAACTGAAACTCAAGTCATTCATTTGAATGCTTTTCATCAGGATGACTATAATGAGGCATGGTTTGTACAAGATCATTTGTGTAAAAACTACACGTCTTGTCTCTGACTCATTTAGCAACTCTGAGCATGTGTTATACATTAAAAAAGTCTTGAGATAATATAATTAGTCTGTTTTCCGCATCTGGTGTTGTCTTTCTATGTTTCACTGGCTTGTTATCACGGTCGAAAATGAACATACAGAAGCTTATTTTGTATTCATCATTAATAAAACAAGAAGTTAAGTGTTTTCTGTTTTTTTTTTACATCTTTTGATTGGAGCACCGCATCCATCCATACATCATAAGATTAGTATTAGGATGACACTCATGTCTTGTGTTTCGAACAGCTCGATTAGCCTTTCTGGTAAAGGTAAACAAGAGCCTTTAGCCTGCTCACTACATAGGCCCATATGTAAAGAAAAACTACAGGTTGTAATGTTACAACTGTTTGCATGCTTCCTTTCTTCCTTTGTTTAATGTAGGCTCTCATTACCACGTGGTGGTAACAGATTGTTTGAACTGGAGAGAAAAGCCATTCGAAGCTAATTAAGCAGCCATTCCAGGCTCTATTCACAGGCAGAGGACCGAGGAGCACAGGCATTTGTCAGCGCTTGACCCCGCGTGGTATTGATTGACAGCGCTGCCTCGTGAATGACAGGCTCGCCGCGGCTCAGCCAATGGGAAGCGGGCGAGTAAGTGCACCGCGCTCTCATTGGTGGACGGGCCTTAAAGCCGCAGAGGAAGACCCCACGTGGGGGCAGAGTTGATCCTTCAAAACAAGGCTGCTCTCAGACATGGCTGATGTTCATATCAGACAAAGGCAATCATCTCGCCTCCCCCCCCCCCCCCCACCGCAGTGCAACTATTACACAAATGCTGATAGGGAGAGGTGCGCAGACGTGTTGTGAAAGAAGCGTGAGATATTTAAGGCATAAAAAAAAAAAAAATGTATGCCGAGTTAGCCAGGTCGCTTCAATTTTGAGGATATCGTCGATGGATTGGGCATTATAATGTGTCCTTCACGGTGTAGCGGGAGTTTAACCTGCACATTGGATACTTTCGATATTTCACAGCATATTGTTTCAGGTTTTATATCCGTCTCATACAGACAAGTTCACGTCTCACTTCTTTTTTTTTTCCTCGTGGGGGAAAAATCAAGACTTCTTGTTGTAAGCTATCTCAGTCACACCTCCCTCCCTCACTCCCCGTCCCCACTGGGTGGTGTTCTCACCCGAAAATTCATCAACTTTATTTCGGCTGCTAAAAAAAAAAAAAAAAAAAAACCCTAATGAGAGGCGGATGTGGAATTTGTGCTGTCTCTGTCAAATTTGGATATCATCGTCGGCACATCAATGCCTGCTGCTGCTGCTGCTGCTGTTGTTGTTGTACATGGTGGGACGGACGGATGATGCCTTGTGGATCAGCGGGATGATGTCATGTATCGTTGCACCCCCACGTGGGGGCCGTCGCTCTCCGATAGGCAGATGTGGCCGCACTCCTTCTGAGTAATCCGATTGGACAGATAGGCTCTTTCACGGCAGTTCAGTGCTGCTGCCTGTGTGTGGCAACCGGGGGTAAGCTGGACAACTGAAGGGAAATGCGAGATTGTGGAGAGAACCATGTTACGCTTTTAAAGAATCTCCAGCCTCTTCGAGTCGGAAGACAGATTTTTGGAAGCCGTGTTTATATACGTTTTCGCTCTCTCTCTCTTTTTTTTTTTTTTTTTGTTTTTTTTTTTTGGATTAACCTTCTCCAAAAAGGCGGACATTTCTCGGATGGTTCGCGGGGCAGAATAAAGTAGTTTAATCGAGCCCGACCGCATCAAATTTTCTCCCAACTACTCCCTCAGTGTGGCTTGGTTGCGCTCCGGAGAAAGAGAGAGAGAGAGGATGCTTGTTGAGATCTGCGTCCACCACGCTTACATGAGGAGGGATTCAACGCATGAATTATAGCCGACTCTGTTTCCTCTTTTAAAAAAAAAAAAGTCGGGCGGACGGCTGGGACGCACGCACGGGTATGTAGCCTGTGTTTGGTCGCCTATTTACAAGAACTGTTGATATTCTCTTTAGTTTTATTTCCTGTAGGGCGTAAGCTTGAGCGGCGCACCGTTTCCCATCGCTGTACGCGGAGTCAAACAGGAGGTGAAAGCAGCTGCTCTCGGCAACGTTGTTGGTCATTTGGCGAACATCGGTCAAAAAGAGGGCCACAAAACAGCGAATTTTTACGCAAACAATTGCGTTTCACTCAGCCAAAGTGGCTCCTTTTTTTATTTGTGTGTGTTTTCCATCAGTTTAAAAAGGGGAGATTTTGTTTCAGTGTATCGCTGACCACTGACCGAATAAGGTCATCAAAAAGACAGAAGCGCTGGACTTGTGCTGCTGTTTGACTCCAGATACATGCAACATAGTGAACTTGCTGTGCGCTCTAGGAAAACCTGCAAATAAGGCTGCACGCAATTGTTGTGTTTTTTCTCGCCTTCAGCCAGATTAAAACGCGTCATTTTCCAACACAGGATTTTCACGAACCCCCCCTCCCTCCCTCTCTCCCCCTTCTACCCTCACCCCCTGTCTGCTGAGACTGGAGTGGCTGTGAGCACATTTCAACCATTTTGCCAAAGGACCTGCACACTGGAGACATAAACAAAGGATACATTACAAGATGTATCCACAAGGCCGGCATCCGGTAAGAAGCGCTTCCTCTACACTTCCAACAGCTTACATATTTATCTGACAGTGTTGACATGGATCCTGACTGTGCCGTTTCTCTCTGAAGTCTGCCACACACAAAAAAAAAAAAAAGCGTTTTCCACTCTTCATGTAGCTCATCGAATTTCAATATTGCGATAGCCTACATTTATGCTACACAGACTCTGCACTTAGTGGTAAATGGATGCAGATGGTTTGCATGCCTGGAGATATTCACTCAGCCGTACACTAACATATGACTGTGCTGAGTAGGACAGCAGTTCACATCTGAAATTACATTTTCATTTTCGGTGTGAAAACCTATTCAAGTTGTGTTATTAGCTTCTGGAGGTGTGAAGCAGAGCCACCTCTTTGCTGTGGTAATGTCTTACTCACCAGTGCAGAGGAGATATTATCCTGAAAGTAGTCAGTAATGTGAGAACTATTCAGCTCCCGTCAGCACCGTGGGACACACAATGCAAGGAAAATGATGAATAAAGTTATTTTTTTCTGTGACTGGACTGATGTGATTTCTTTCAGGCTCCACATCAGCCTGGCCAGCCTGGCTTCAAATTCACTGTAGCAGAGTCTTGTGACAGGATTAAAGATGAATTTCAGTTCCTGCAAGCCCAGTATCACAGGTAATTATCACAAACACACCAACGTGTGGCAGCGAGTCGTCCACATTTCCCCTCCTTTTTTTAAAAAATGTAATGGTTTAGGCTAATATTTGGTTGTTGACTCTTGCTGGAAAGCAAAGCGACACTGCTGCCAATTGGTTAAGTGTCAGTGAGGTATGCAAGAAATGGAGATGCCTGAAATTGACACCTTGTCCTCTATTTTAGTCTAAAGGTGGAGTACGACAAACTGGCCAATGAGAAGACGGAGATGCAGCGCCACTATGTCATGGTAAGATTATGTTACAATAGGGAGCAATTATGGCTCCAAATTGCAAGGCTTGTTGAAGATGTAGTTGGGGTGGAGTGAGACGGGCTATTGTGATCACCTGTGTGGTGGTTAGGGCGGGTTGAGTGTCAGGTACAGGCCTGTGAAAGCCCCCCGGGGGGTTTGATGTAGCCGGTTGTTACTGCGAGCTCTTCCTGACAGGCGGGCAGTGGGCGGTTGTGGGCTGAGGCTCCATTATAGCGCGCCCCTGATCTCAAAGGGTCGACCGCAGCGCTGCCCTCTGTGCGTGCTGATCTGATTATTCTCCTAGGAGACTCCACGCTCACACATACGCATGGCCATAAATTAGCTGTGAGCTGATGGTGGAGGGCAGGAGTAGTCAGTCCGTGGGAAATGCACCACAGCAAACAAAATGGAGGCCGTGGAGCACATGCTGCAGTACACTGTGCACTGTATTAATGTTAGTTTCTGTTCGAACCCAAATTATTTGTTTTTATTCGAACTGTTGAAAAGCAGGTGTGCTATAGTATGACGCAGGGATTTAGCTGAGACGTGACGCAGTCAGAAGGTTTCCTCTGCGGTCAGGCCTCTGTTGTCCCAGGTAAACACATCGGGGTTGACTTGAACCAATACATGCGAGCTTCAGTTTAACATTCTTCTCACAGGAAAACAACATGTCAGCCTGACGGGAGGAGGTTAGGTAAACATGTAGGGAAGTATCCCACAGCCAGCACTGGGTGTCGGGTTACGTTCCGGCTGTGGGGCTCTGATCTCAGACAGAATGGCTCTCTTGTTTGAGAGTAATTTTCGAAGAAGCTAATGGACTGAATAATGCATTGGCCTCATCAAATACAGGCTGACTGGAAAGCCATTTCTGCCCTGGCTGCCACTTGTGGGCTCCACGGATTACATTTCAGCCAAGACAGACCGAGCTGGCCTGATATATCAAGAGTGTTGAGCAATTGCGTTACGCTAAGTAAACAGACATCCTGGAGATCTGAGGGATGAAGGTGGGCGATCAATAAATCTGACCCCTTCTTCTCTTTGCCCGCTCTATAAACAACCAAATATCGATTTATTGGCTATTCGCTGTCAGCAGCTCAATGAACTCCTTTTTTGTCTTTTCTTAGTTTATCACGCTTCAAAATGGTCAAAACCATTGGATGATGTAATCAGTGTTGTAACCAGAAAAAAACAAATGATTTGAAGTAGCCTATGTAAGTTGCATTGACCACATTATGTAGAAATAAAAACCAAAGGCACGGGTATGAGAGTTACTGCCTACATACAGTAAATGTTAGCACAGCTTGCTTGTTCATCCGACTTCTTCTTTCTTGTTCATTAACACAACAAATTGTTTTGCCTTCCTTTCAGTATTACGAGATGTCCTACGGGCTGAACATAGAGATGCACAAACAGGTAGGTGCCGTCATGTTCATCATATTTTGCAGCTCAGTGGTTTCTCACAGTGTCAGGGGATGTGAGACCCAGGGGGAGCTGCTCATAGACTGTGTACTGAGCAGCGCTAATAGGCTGTAAACACACGGATCTACTGCACACAAACAAGGCAGAACAACTGCAAACTTGTACCACCGCATGCACAAATTGCTGCGACTCTTTTTGTGTGTTAAATTTACCACTGGTGTAAGCCATGGATTAGTCTCAGCCTTGTGATAAGATTAAAAGTAGACTTTGGCAGGCTCAGCCTTTGACTTAATGATTAAAGGGAGAGGATTGCTGATGGGTCAGTATTTCTTCTTAAGATGAATCGTAATCAGAGGACCGGGGCAAAAGTCCTTTGGTCACTGATTGTGCGTTTATCTTCATCAAAAAGATCCTATCTGCTATTGCTCCACAGATCAATCACACTGATGATTAAGATTGAGATAAAGATTGTATGAATGAGTAACCCAGAGATTCCCATGCATGCTGCTCTTAAACCAGTTGGGCTGTCCCCTCTCCTACCACAGCTCGGCTTGGTTAATGATGATAATGGCAGCGCGGCGGCTTGGTGCGGTGGGGTGATCCATCAGCGACCAGGGTAGTGTGTCACACTGCCACATGTCTGTCAGGGCTCGAGCTGCTCTGATAGCTTCTGTCAGGCACTTATCGCCAACCAGAAGAAAGAGGAGGGGGGATGGGAGCCAGAGAGACACGTAGGAGAATAGAGCTGGGGGGGTGGGGGTCGACAGCTCGGCTCTGTGTAAACAGGTTAATCGACTGATCCATTTTAGCGCCTGACTTTTATCAGGAACCTCAACAGAGCTGATGGAAGTGCCTGAATAATTCATCAGTGGGGCCCTAACCTGCTGAACGGCGTGTTTGTGAGCAAACAGTGTGGGCCCCGTCCAAGCAGCTCCCCAGCTTACAGCTCTGGTGGAAGAGTAGGAGGAGAAGAGGGGAGTGGTTAACAGGCAGGGTTGGGATGGATTATTGGATGCACATAGGCATATTATTTTCCCTGCCAGAAGATTCATTCCACGGTTAGGTGATCCATTCCTGTAACTGTGTCTTTTTCATTACTGTGCAGGAGAATAATTCAGATTTCAGAATGCACACACTGGAACAGCTCTGACTGGCATGACAGCATTTCATCTGATCCCTCTCTCATTGTTTGTAGATTTAAAAAAAAAAAAGAAGCTAATTTCTACTGTGTGATGTCAGCCATTAATTACTATCATCCAGAGTTTGTCTTCAATATCATGCGGGTGTTAGGTATAGTCTTAACACAAGAAGAAACTGTGGCTGTGAAAGGCACTTGCTAAGTAGCGAACAATCTGTCATACACGGAGCCAAAGAAAACTTTGTCAGCCAGCAGATTGCAGTGTTCATTTTTTAAAGAGGTGTGCAGTGACGTGTGGTTAAAGAAACTGTGGCTCTCCAAGCCATCAGTGCTCCCACATCACCATTCTGTCATGTCGGACTGGACTAGAGGGTAATGATTACTGGTTGTTGACTCCTGGGTTTCAGGTCCATTTACAAAAACCAGAAAGCTAGTATTTTATAATGAAGGCTTTGATGTTCTTTTTTTTTTTTTTTTTTTTCTGTCCTGGAGAGTTTATTGTTTTAAGATCACTTAGACTCTGAAAAGCACCTGACTGCTGCGGCTCACAAAGTTAATTACAGTCGTGACTCATGCGTTGATTTTGGCAGACTTGTGGCCTTGCTGGGATCAATACAGACAATTTAAAATGTCAATTAGAAATGTATTCTGGACTTTCCTCACATTAACGAGGACTCTCAGGTTTTGTGAAACATCTCAGAATAGTAAAAAAAAAAAAACTGCCTCATTTTCTAGCTTTGATGAGCCTCAAGTGAAGTGCTAGTCTAATTTCCGTACACTACAAAATCTGGAAATAGGCAATGCTACCATCTTGGACAAATTGCAGGCCCTCTAAATCAGACAAGTCAAGTGTTATTTAGACAGATCATGTGACCAACACTGCTAGTGGTTTCTCCCTCTGTATTTAATACTCATCAGTGTCTCGACTCCATTTTTCCCCAATGCTGATAGCAACAGGCGAGTGAATACCTTTCCGCACGCCATTGACAAGCCAGCCTGAGAGTGCTCTTAAAGTGGTGCTACACAGGTCCGAGTACCTGTAATTGTGTAGCAGCAGCGCAAAGCTGGCCTCTCGAGGGCCGAGCTGTCATCTACTTAAAGTGACAACAGCCCCATTTTTATCTGCTGGCAGAACCGGGGAGGGGAAGAAAAAAAAATCCTGCTAGCACTGCACTGTATCTATTTTGACAGCACTGGCAAGCCGAGTTGATGCCTTTTCCGTGCATTTGCATGTTGTGTGGTGAGAGTGTAGAGGCTGCCAGTTGTTTAGGGCACAGCGGATCAGCCACCTCCTGACCTCTCTCAGCCAGCTGTCACCATGACACTAAGCTACAGAGGAGTGGACTGTGCGCTCAAGGCCTTTTCACAAATCCTGTCAAATGTTCGACTGCTATTGACATGGCTTATCTCTACAAACATGGATTATACAGGCTCTGTAGCTTTTCAACCATTTCTAAGGGCGTTCTTGAGCCCTTGCTAGAGCACTTACTACATTGTATTAATACTAATGCCCATAAAACCTTCATCTAACCCTCTAGTGCTTTATTGGTTGTAGGTCACATTTATAGTGTGTGAGAGGGGATTGGAGTTCAGTGTCTGCAGACGGTAATCAAGTCATTATAAGCAGTATCTCCTGGACTATTGTACTTTGTATTATACACGTTGCCATATATTTGTTTCACGTTATTGCCTCTGATCCTAGGGCTTTACTTTGTTTCATGTGATATTTCATCTTGGGCTTGTTGTTTGTCCTGCTGGCTCGTTCGGGTAAGTGGCTGTCCATGTTGCAGCTTGGGTCAGCAGGTCTTGTTCTGTTGGACATTACTCTCCAATCTCTCTGGCTCTGCTCAGAGGTAATACATCTGGCTGCCAAAACTGCCTGGCATTTCTGCCATGTGTAATAAATAAGCTGGCGGTCTGTAAAGTACATTGTGTGTGCTGCTCCAAATGAAAAATCTGAGAAAATCCCTGTGATGTGTTTGTGTTCCGCAGTGGCCTTGGGTTGAACTGCAGCTCATAAATTCCATAGATGATGGAGCTTTGGCACTGTTATTTTTCTGCTCCCAGCGCAGACGTTCAACCTGAGAATCTCATCTCCCACCCCTGGAAGAAGAAGGAGGCAGAACAAGCCGGCTGTGCGGCGTTTTTATAGGGGGAGGGAGCACACACACCTTTTCCCGTTGCTCCTTTTTTTTTTTTTTAACCCATGATTCATTTGCTACGTTCATGTGATCGACAGGCTGAAAATTCAATTTAATGACCTGCCTCTAAGCACGTAATATGATTTTAAAACCCTGTTACGGTCAAGCAGAGGTGCCATTTGCATAATGATCCTAGCAAGATAGGGTTGTAGCCGTTGCCATGGCAGTTGGTAGACAAGCGGAAGAATGGAGCCAGAGCTGTGCGGGTGGATGTGAGGTTGGGAGGGCGGAGGGCTAGACAGCTTAGTGCAGTTAGAAAATGGACAAGGCTTTGGTCTTGGGAAGGCAAAGCTCCAACACACTGCATGCTGGAAGCTGTCTTCTAATGGTATTGATCACAGATTTTAAGGTGCTCTTGAGGTCATTATGGTTTGTAAACTTTGCTCACTCTGCATTTCTAACGCTTAATGTAAACCGCCTGCACTGTCGCATGTAAGTAAACAGTGCAGTCTGGTTTGTGGACCTCACTTCCCGGGGTGTGGTTGTGTGGTTTAGTGCCGAGGTTAACTGCAGGACAGCACTGTTGCAGATGAGGGGAAGGAGGGCAGAGTTAGAGAGGATCCTCTCAGCACAGCAGCACTCTGCCTGCTCATATCCGTTTAGCATGGAGTGCACTCTCAGCACAGCTGTGCTCCATCCCCCTGGGCTCTCCTAATGTTTTAAATATTTCAAATGTCAATATCACGCTGTTTAGAGGATGTTGAGTCAAGCAGTTCTGATTGCCGCAGTAATTGACTTAATCGGTGTAAACATTAAAGGCGGGGTTAGCTGAAGTCACTGTTTGTTTCATACTTTATCGTCTCATTTTGCTTCTCTTTTGTTTTGCAGACTGAGATTGCCAAACGGCTCAACGCAATTTTAGCTCAAATTATGCCTTTCCTGTCTCAAGAGGTAAGTTTTGAATGCAGCGAACATTGTCACTATTCATAAAAGCCACCTATTTCCTGAAGTAAAAGACACTGCTTAAAGTCATATGTCAGGTTAAGCAATTTTGAGTAATTTTTTTTTTTTGGCCCTCTCTTTAAAAGTTTGAAGCAGTGCTGGGGGGGGGGGGGAGATGTGAAATTTAATATAATTAGAAGTGATGTGTGATAGATGTTGGCATGCCTCACTCATTGTCTGTAAATGTCTCCCCACAGCACCAGCAGCAGGTTGCTCAGGCAGTGGAGAGGGCTAAGCAGGTTACTATGACCGAGCTGAATGCTATCATCGGGGTACGTGGACTTCCCAATCTGCCTCTCACCGTGTGTATACCCCCTTTTTATTCCTTTATTTGACCTTGATTAGGGACTAACCTGCTCATAAGATGATCACTAGTTAGAAATCATGCTTTTCCATGTCTTACTCTTGCACCAACTAGTCTGAACTGTTAATTGATTACAATGTAATACACCACCTATGAAGTTTAATTAGCATCTTCTTGACTCGTAAATATTTCCTCACATATAGCACTTTATTCTCCACCGCTACATTCAAACTATATGCACAGCAAATACGGCTCCAGAGAGCTGGTCTTTTGCTCCCGCTTTGGTCTCTTTGGCATCTTCACTGCCTTGTTGTGTGTTTATAAATGTAAGCTTGAGAGCTCTTGAGATCCCCTTTGCAGCTTGTATTGCTTTAATTGGCTAAGGTTTTAACGAGGAGCCTCATCCCTCATGCTGACCTGGATAGCTGTGGGAATTAAAAGGCTGAGGGTGAGCAGAACGCAGCCTAGCCGTGCTGCGAGCTAGCCGATACAGTACGGACAGCAGACGGCTATCAGAGCTCTGCAGCACACTGCTCTTTGCTCACCACCACAGCACTGCGCTTTAGTATATGGTGTTCATCCCTGCTTCAAAACACCATCCGCTCATTTATCAACTGTGGTCATCCTGCCCTCATAAAGCTGAACTGATGGGGTGTCACCCTCGGTGCAGCACTGAGGCTATCAGTGATCTTAATTCTACAGTTGAATCTTGCAGAGCCTTTAGCATGCCTAAGAGCAAGGACCTAAAGGCTGACTTTATTGGAATTCAATTAATGGCCCCTTGGTGACCTTTTGTTCCAGGATAATTGAACAGAATTTGTCTGAGTAGGTGTCTTACAAATGGATGGAGAGTAGTTTTCCCCATATGTTGACTGGAACAGCTGCTGTATTAATCTTTCATCAAAGCGGATGCATGCAGCAGTCGTCCTTAAGCAAAGCTGGTTTCATGTGTTGGTTCTTCAGGTGCATGTGTTTTCACGATACAATATTTGATTCTTGTGGTGCCTTTACATTTCTAGCTTTCGTCTTTTCAGTGTTGCTCTCTGTTAAAAGTAAGAAGCATTATGATGGACAGTTTTAGTGGGAAGAAACTAAAGCATAAGAAGTTGAGTCCCAACCAGCCTTATGATAATTGGAAAATTGGAGCCAAAGAGTAGCAGCATTCGGAAATATAAGTTTGAATGTTAACTTTGAGAGGGCTCTTGACATGGGCCATACTTTGTTGTTAGGTCCATGTTTTATGTTAAATATTTTCCTTGAATGGAAACATGTATTTATTTTTCCACATGTATGACTGGGTTCAGTAACAAATGTGCCCACCTTTATTTCATTGAGCGTATTTGACAATCAAGGCCAAATTTGTATCGTCGTGGTGATGAAAAATGAGGGGTTTTGTGTGTACATGTAAGGGGGACTTTGTAATGCAGATTAATTTATACCCAGTTCTGGAAACAATAAAAAATGCAAGTCTGGTGAAGAGGAGTTATTTGAAAAATATTGGACAAGCCATTCATGACTTTTGTATTACGCTCTCTTTTTGGTATCAGCCTGTTTTAAGAGACTGTTAGGTCTCCACCAAAGTCACTCTGGGTGGTCATGTCAGAGGAGGTGGAAATGTAGCTACTCTATGTTTTACGAATGCCTGTCCATTAGTTATTCATCGAGGAGAAGCTCAGTAGGCATGCCAAAATCCTCATGCATATTGTAAAGCAAGGTGGGGTGAAAGAGCGTGCCAGGCAGACAGGCAGTATCCTGGAGCCAGCTGCATGCCTTATTGATGGGGCTGAGGGCCATTAATAGGATGCATCTAGGGCATCTGCTTGCGTGGAGATGAACCTGACAGGTGGTGCTTCCTGTTTGAATAGATAAAGCACAAAAATTAAAAAAAAAAGTCAGCCAAGATGTAGTTCAGATAACACCACCTTTGTCCCAGTGAGTGAGAGAGTTTTCTTTGAGCAGTCGGGTTTGGTTCAGTACAGTTTGGTACGGTAAACCCAGAACTTGCTTGCGTTTCCACAGACAACCATACCCTTATTTGGTAAGCCGAGTGTAAGCCAGATGACATCATAGCAGCCCAACACAGTGTAGCCCCCTGTTAATTAAGTTAAATGTTCAAGTAGAACAGGGGCACGGTAAACAAGGGACCCTTTAGGGTGGGATTGGTACCCATGGCACCCCAACAGAAGGGTTCCAAAAAAGGAGGTACGGCTCCCTTATTTTGGTACCATTCCCAACTTTTGACGGTGGAAACGCCAATAAATGGGTTCCATACCGAACTGAACCGGACTGCTTGGTGGAAACGTGGCTTTTGTAACCCAACCATTTAAAAGCATAAGATGATTGAGATGCAAAGCGGTAGCAGTGCCTTTTTGTTAATTTTTTTTTTTTAATGCACTTAGTGTGTGCACACATCTGGGCTTGAAGGGCTTGTACACGTTTCCTTTTCAAGTGCTATGCTTTTTTTTTTTTTTAGTAGTTGGTGTACTGAGTACACTAGAGACCACTATAATACATTTGCTTGATTTGCCTTTTGTGTGTTTTTTTTAAAGTACGTACACTCTAAAAAAAAAAAAAAAAAGGGGCAAAGAGTGGGTCTTTATCTTAGAATATTAAGTTAGAGGAAATAGGCCAGACTCCTTTCTTTATTTATTATTGTCTTCATTTATGGCCCTCTAATGAGGGCTCTCGCTGATCAACCATGCATATTACCCATCAGTGCCTCATTAAACACAATGAGCAAGGATGGCTCTCCCCTGCCAATGAACTGGCTCCTTAATTTCCCTCATGGACACAATACTATAACACACTCGCACTCTCTCTCCCTCTCTGTCCCTGTGTGTCCTGGTACATTTTGTAATTGGATTGACATCTGTCCTATAGAGCTAAGGAAAAGGTTGCAAGTTAAAAACCTTAGATTTTTCCGATCCCGTATTCTCTACCTTCAGGGCAGATATACATCAGACGGCAAAGGCAATTAAAAAGTCCCTCCAGGTATGATTTCTAAGGACATATTTAAAAAAAAATATCTGCCAGTTGATGAATCTGTTTAAAAAAAGAGAGATGAAGACATTTAAAGCATGTTCCTACTGAGTTAATGTATGTTTTCCATGTTAGTCTGGGTCACCTCATTGTTCTATGCGTCATACCAGCTACCCAGTCATTACAAAGTGGCCGTAGTTGTTCTCTGATTGAAGTGGGCCTTTTAAAAGAAAGGAGATGCATGCTGTAACAGCAGCTGAATTATTCAGCTGGCTCGTAGACGGGTAATAAATTGCTGATGTTTTTATTGGTGTCTCAGCTAAGTATTATTTAACCTTGCTTTAAACTGCTTACTTCAATGCTGAGTGCCTTTTAACTCCCATCCATTTCCCTGTGCCTTTCAAATATTGATGGTGAATATTGGAGGGTTGACTGAGTGCCAGCATGGGACCCCTGGTCCTGGCTCCCGCAGCAGTCTTCCAGACGTGCATACACACACATACACACACTGAAATACTCAGAGTGAGAGGGAAGGAGTGCCAACTTCGGGCACTTAGTGTTACATCGGTCTCTTAAAGTTTGGGTGTGCAAATGATTCATGTTCTGTTAATCCAGGAACATGAATAGTAAATAGACACTGGTCGTGTTTTTGAAGAGTTTAAAAAGCAGGTAGTTGTTTAGCCCACAGGCTCACAGATTCCTGCTCAGCTTCATGATCCTTATGAGGATTGCTTAACTCGCCTATGGCAGCAGTGCTGTGGTCCTGCAGTGTGAAATGTGCTAGTTTACCTGATGAGAAATTATTTCCAGTCCATCTGTGGTGTGTGTCAAACTTTGCTCTGCTGTTTCATAATTTTTTTTAAAGCTAATCATGCAGCTGTAACTCTGTGTGAGTGAATGCCTGCAGGCCCTGCGTGTTCTGCATTAGACAAGTTGAGCAGTTGATCGTTAGTCATAACTTCTTTCCTCCTCAGCAAAGATGTAGGGCTTATGCCACTTTGGCCATGATTTAGAAATAGCACGGACGGGGAAATTGCTGTCTGATCCTGACAGTAATAGATGTGTCGATGTGCTAATATCATCCAGGGTTTAACTGATCAGCATCATGTTTAGTGTGTGGTTTCTCCTTGCCCTATCTCTATGACCCACTCGGTGTCTGTCTGTCTTCTTGTCTACTTACAGCAGCAACAGCTCCAGGCGCAGCACCTCTCCCACTCTGCTCACGGCCCTCCGATCCAGCTCCCACCTCATCCCTCAGGCCTGCAGCCGCCCGGCATCCCCCCTGTGACCGGCTCTGGATCAGGCCTGCTGGCACTGGGGCCCTGGGCAGTCAAGCACACCTCCCAGTGAAGGACGAGAAGAACCACCACGATCTGGAGCACAGAGGTGAGGAGTTGAGCTCGGGCATATCGCTGCTTAGCAGGTTTATTTAGAAGAACTGACACATATATTAATTTAACATTATTGCATAGAGGTAAAACCAATTTAGTGCAGCATGCTTGTCACTCTCTAAAGCAGAATGGTAGGGCCCTTAGGTGAGGAGCTCATCCTGTCTGTTCACATTCTGTCTGGGTAATGAGCTGGTACATTCCCAGCCTATGACTGCATAAGCTATTCAACAGCTCCAACACTCGGCGATAAAAGGGGCCCTGTGCCCTGCAGTTGATTCTCACACGTTCAGCCAGAAGCATCTGTTATGATATGCTAACTGACTTGTTTTTTTCCCTTTGCGCCACTTGGTTTCATCATCACCTTGACCGCCATTGTAACGTCTGGGACACAGAGAGCACGGTGAGTGTCCAAACCCACAGCTGTTTTCGTTGCACTGTTTGTTGGTTTAATGAATCATTATCGTCTCAACTGCAAAAGTCAGGTGGAAAAAAAAATCCTGTTAACAGCATGCCACTGCTGATTTCATGCACTGTTGTAATCTGCTTTCAATAAAATGATTAATTGGAAATGAGGTTTGGAATATAAGTCCTGTGCTTTTAATCCAGAAGGGAAATGACTGGTATCATGCTGGAGAGATTAGAAGCCTTGTAATTTCATCACAATTAAAGAAAGACCTGGACTTCCCCTTCTTAAAGGATTTATTTGATCCCTTCTACTGTCTCCCTTGTTTACCAGCTCACTCATTCTCCTCCTTGGCATGTGATGAATATTTATGAACACAAATGGAGAATTGTTTTTCTTTCTCTTTCACTCCACCCCGTCTGGCTGAAGCTGCTAAAGCATTTTATTTGAATGGCTGCGATCTCTGATGGCTTGTGATGGGCCTGTGAGATTGTGTTTCTGCCGGCTGAATGGGTGCAGTCATGTCTGAAGAAATGGAACTCCTGGGGCGATTAGCAGGACTGTTTTGTTTCTGTGCTCTTGTCCCAGGTCATCTGATAGCAGAGTGGTGACTTTGGTTAATGAGTCACGCTAAGCATCTCTTTAAAGGTCAGCCATTATGCAGACAGTGGCCCTTTGCCCAGACTGCTAGTCCATCGGCCATTGTTCGCTTCCTTGGGCTGCCACCGATTTAGTCCATGTCGTTGCTTTGGTCTTCAGAGGAAAGGGACAGAGCGAATCAGAGGGACTTGGCAGTTTATAGGCTGATGGCAAACTACTGTGAAAGAAGCTGGACACCTGCCTAGTTCCTCCCATTCTGTTGGTGTTTGGAGTGAGCTGTCCCAGCTTGTGTGGGCAGGCGTGCTCCATGAAGAAGCACCAGTCAGTCCCACGCTGCTGTGCCCACTGGCAGGATATAGATTCTCTTTCTTTATCAGAGCTCAAAGCCTGAGTTGACATGGTGCCCGAACACTTTGCACTGCGGCAATCAATGCCCGATGCCTACAAATACAGTCTCTCTTTTCTCTCTCTCTCTTTCTCTTTCTTTCTGTGTCTCTCCTCCTCCTCCTCCTCCTCCTCCTCCTCTCTCTCTTTCTGTGTCTCTCCTCCTCCTTCTCTCTCTCTTTCTCTATCTCTTTCTCTTTCTCTTTCTCTTGCGCTTAGCCTGACAGACTCTGGAGAAAAGGCCCTCTGTTCAGCCACAACACACTGCTCATGTCCCTGTGAGGCTGTTTGTTGTCCAGTTATGAGGAGGAGGGAGCCCAGCACAGAAAACAAGCCCTCATCCTTTCAGTTCAGATAATGGGCCATTCTGTTGTTTGGCCAGGCACAGGCCTGTGTGTGAGATCGGGCTTGGCTGGTGTCAGGGTACTGCTTGGAGTGGGCCCGCAGCTGCATTTTAAGAGTGTGCTGCATCCATGACGTGAATGAGGCGCTTTTAGTATTTGGATTGGCTCAGTGTGTTCTCTGTGAATTTGTAACTGATGAATGACTCTGTTTTTTTTGTTGTTGTTGTTGTTGTTGTTGTTGTTGTTGTGCAATTGCAGACAAAATGATGAGAAAAGTGTTTTTGGTTTTCTCTTTGCAGAATAACTCCATATCCCCATCGGAAAGCTTACGCACAGCCAGTGAGAAGCACCGCAGCTCCTCTGACTACAGTTTGGACTCTAAAAAACGCAAAGTGGAGGAGAAAGACAGCATGAGCAGATATGTAAGTCTGCAAAGGAAATGTTTGGTATTTCATAAAATATACTTCATCACTTTTCTTGCTGAAAATATGATAAGAAAGTAGATAGCACTCCTTGTGCCAATTGAATGTTTAGCTACAACCAGGATTTGGTTAACTTAGGGAAACTGCTATCCTGGCTCTGTCTAAAGGTTGAAAACCACCATTTTATATTCCAAAATGTTTAAGTAATACGTGGTGGCAGATGTATTTCAGAAAAATCTTTGTGAAGGTGTCTTATTTGCCAATTATCTCTACAGGACAGTGATGGAGAGAAAAGTGATGACCTGGTGGTGGACGTGTCTAATGAGGTGAGCAGAGCAGCAGCTTCTAGTAAATGGCGTATTGATGCGAGCTAAGATGAAGCTTTTACGTGAGCGTTGAAACTTTCTGCATTTCTCCAGGATCCTGCCACTCCACGCGCTAGCCCCGTACACTCGCCGCCTGAAAATGGCATAGACAAGCCTCGGCCGCCAAAGAAGGACACGCCCAATAGCCCAGCATCAGTGGCATCCTCTGGAAGCACTCCATCCTCCAAAACCAAGGAGCTCAGTCATGTAAGACACCAAGAGTTTGCAACAAACTAGGACAGAGAGGGTTTAAATGAGAATTGCAGAGAGAGAGAGCACAGGGATATGTGCAAATAAATCTGGGACGTTTTCTGCAGTGGATTAGGAATGGCTGTTGGTGCTCTAAGTGCATGACTAAACGTCAGGGATAATATTGTCCCGCATCAGGATCAGTCAGGTCTTCTCTGTTAATAGCTCAATGTATTTAACTATTCCAGGATGTTTCTCCCTCTGCCTCACTAAAAGATTAAAGCCAAAGCAGTAAGGGGATAAAAACAGCCCCATCTCCATTGTGGTCATAATAGGTTTTAGAATAAATAGCAGTTTATGGCTCTGCAGGACTATGAGGGTTGTCAGAATTAGATTGGATTAAGTTCAGTTTGCTCTCAAATTGTCAGTCTGCACAGTGCCTGCTTTCCCGGATTGTGATTGTGCTTGCTCTCTCGTTCCCTCGACAGAATGACAAATCCTCCACGCCTGGCCTCAAGTCCACCACCCCCACACCTCGCAATGATGCCCCCACCCCTGGCACGAGCTCCACTCCCGGGCTCAGACCCATCCTGGGCAAACCACCAGGCATGGAGGCTCTTGGTTGGTACCAGCCTTTTTCCTCTCTAACAACCGAGATAATCGTTTTTCCATCCTCTTCTTATGTACTGTTATATCACATACCAACATCCCCCTTCTGTCTCCCACTGTAGCAGCCCCAGCTTTGCGTACCCCTCTGTCCATCGCAGGCTCCTACCCGACCCCTTTTGCCATGATGGGTCATCATGAAATGAACGGAGGCCTGACTAGTCCTGGTGTGTATGCTGGTCTGCACATCTCCCCTCAGATGAGTGCCGCAGCAGCTGCAGCCTATGGACGCTCCCCAATGGTAACGCTCCATCCTGCCCTTTTTATTTAGCTTTCCATCAGCTTTTAGTTTAAAGTTATCTGACATTTAACAATACACTAATCAACCTTTTTACCAAGTTTGTTGAAAAGATCAATACCCTCTCATATCTGTCTGTGAAAGTGTCCCAGGGGAAATTTAGACCTCCAGTGACTGCCATCAGATGTCATGAAATGATCATTTTTTTTTAAAAGGTTTCCATCTCCTCACTTTTTAGGGGTTTGATCCTCACACCCACATGAGAGCACCCGGCCTTCCAGCCAGCCTCACATCCATTTCTGGTGGCAAACCGTAAGCCTCTCACCATGTTTTTTTATAGTCATACATTTAATAATAATAACCTAATTTGTATAGCACATTAAAAACAAGGGTTTACAAAGTGCTTTGACAATTGTTCAGAATGTAAAAGCATTTTAAAGATATTAAACAGTTACACGTGCCTTTTTTTTCCCCCCCCATCAGGGCTTATTCCTTTCACGTCAGTGCAGACGGGCAGATGCAGCCTGTTCCCTTCCCCCCCGACGCCCTGATTGGCCCTGGTATCCCACGCCACGCCCGTCAGATCAACACGCTGAGCCACGGCGAGGTCGTTTGCGCTGTTACCATTAGCAACCCAACACGTCATGTCTACACTGGTGGCAAAGGTTGTGTCAAGATCTGGGACATTAGCCAACCGGCAGCAAGAGCCCAGTGTCCCAACTGGACTGTCTGGTGAGAGCCGCTACATTTCATCTGTTAGGAACTTTTCTTTAGCCAGTTCTTTGTTTTTTTTCTTTTTCTTTTTTAAGGGACATGGAACTGTTTTCCAATAAATATCTGATAATCGTCTGTTAAATACAAGGAACACATATCTCACTGACAATATTACAGCTAATTCAATGGTACACAAATGGAGCCAATGCTTGGGTCAGTTTTTACATGAGAAAATAGTCATGAAGCTTATGATGAACATTATGTAAAGCTTGAAATCTTATTCAATCAGTGAAGGATTGGCAGAATCCAAAGTGTGGTTTTATTATGACAGAAGGGTTTTCATCCTCTTTCCTTAACTCTCTCTAGCTCTACTGCCTTAAACATGTATTGATCTGCGTTCTCCTCTCTGCAACAGAACAGGGATAACTACATCCGCTCCTGTAAGCTGCTGCCTGATGGCCGCACATTGATTGTTGGAGGCGAGGCCAGCACATTGACGATCTGGGATTTGGCCTCTCCGACACCCCGCATCAAGGCCGAGCTCACCTCCTCTGCCCCTGCATGCTACGCCTTGGCCATCAGCCCTGACGCCAAAGTCTGCTTCTCCTGCTGCAGCGATGGAAACATTGCCGTTTGGGACTTGCACAACCAGACTCTCGTTAGGTAGGGGGAAAAAAAAAACTCTTATTCACTCTTGCGTGGGCTTTGGCTTCTTGACAGACTTGTGGTTGTGTGAGTCATTCTGAAAGTATAAGTCAATAATATTTGTTTGCCTTCTGACTTTGATTGTAGGCAGTTCCAGGGTCACACGGATGGTGCTAGCTGTATTGATATATCCCATGATGGCACTAAGCTGTGGACAGGCGGTCTTGACAACACTGTTCGCTCCTGGGATCTGAGGGAAGGTCGGCAGCTGCAACAGCATGACTTCACTTCACAGGTACGATCCTCTAACTCGCAACACATTGCTCAAATACACACTGATCCACAGATTTACTGAAGAGGGAGTATTCCCTTTAAGTTCCAGGACTGTCGGTAAACACTGCTTTGTCCCTTTTCTAGATCTTCTCTTTAGGCTACTGTCCAACTGGAGAATGGCTCGCTGTGGGCATGGAAAGCAGTAATGTGGAAGTGCTCCACCACTCAAAGCCTGACAAGTATCAGCTCCACCTGCACGAGAGCTGTGTCCTCTCCCTCAAGTTTGCTTATTGTGGTATGACAACATACTTAATCAGAAATGTCTCACTATACCTAACCACAGCGCTTTCCTGTTTCTTAACGTGTAATAAATATAAACGGTTCTTTTTTAAAAGTCTTAATAACTATTTTGCTTTCAGGGTTAAATACATTAAAAATTCTTAATTTGTAGTGTTGAAGTCCACGAGAGGCTGACTGTACTGTGGCTTTCTTCACAGGGAAATGGTTCGTGAGCACGGGGAAGGACAATCTGTTGAATGCATGGAGGACGCCTTATGGCGCCAGCATATTCCAGGTATGCAGATCAATACACTCTGTCTGTAGCCCGCACAAAGTTATGCACAGTTGGAAGGGCGCAGTGACCGCTGTCTGACAGTACTCTCCCATCGGTGAAAACTGAACCTGAATTATTGACCTGACAAAGAAGTCTTTCTGAGCAGCATCAGGCAACAACTTGATGTCATTGTAATCTAATCGTAACCGTTAGTCAGCGAATTCTCTCCTCTTTACATCAAAGATGGTTGAAAATGTTAACTGCCCCCAAGACTAATATGTTTTTATCTTTCTCAGTCCAAGGAATCGTCTTCTGTCTTGAGCTGTGACATCTCGACGGACGACAAGTATATTGTGACAGGCTCGGGTGACAAGAAGGCCACCGTATATGAAGTGATCTATTAGAACAGAATGCTTTGGATCAGAGCATGCTCGTGCTCAGGAACAGTAGACACTTCCTCCATCTACCTTCCCTCACACAGACAGCATGGATGTTGCCTGGTGCCCCGGGGTGGATGGGCAGGAAGTTTGGCAGTGCCAGACTGAGCGAGATGTTGGTGACGTTGTGGCCCTGGATGCTGTAATCTTATGGCTCTGCCCTTCCTCACTCATACAACTAACACTTGTACAGCAAGTGCAGTTCCCTGAGACACTAAGAAGAAAGTAATGTCTTGCTGTTTTTCTGTTTGTTGGATATTTCTTTTTTATTCGTCCTTTTTAATGTGGAGATAAAGTTCCATGACACAACTAGAAGCAGCGCTTCGCTCTGGAGCTTCTCCTCGGAGGTCCTGTGAAAAGTGTACATAATGGAGTAATAAAAGGCCTTTTATAGATTTATATTTTGGTGTCCAGTTACGCTTGTGATGGTTCTTTCTTGTTTTCCCCATGATTTTATGTCCCCTCTGGGGATGGAAATTAGATTAGGACTTTGTAAAAGGATATTCTATTTCAGTTTTTCCTCCCCCTCTGTGTCGGTGTCCAGAATGACCTTTTTGGAAATCTAATTTGGATTTTTTTTTTTTACTGACAACAGCATTTTTTCTTCGCTATTTGCTGTAACACAGAACACAGGAACACAGACGTTCATCAGATGGATTTAAACAGTGGAGAATTCTGGAAAGGACCTTTTTTCTTCCGGACAGGCGGCAGGAGAAAATCATGTTTTCAACCCATTTCTATCCTCTGGACCTGTTCAGTAGATATTCATCTCTGAAAAAAAGACCTATCACACAGGACACTGGCTGCTTTCAGTGACCGTTAAACTGAAATCTTTCAACAGGAGGACTAAAGGATTTTTCTGAATAAGCAGCTGTGACCTGCGTTCAACCTGTTCTCTCAACTACACTCGGCAAAGTTTAGTCATCAGTCCAGGAGTTAATTATTTCCTCTCTGGTTTGACTCTGTGACTGATGTGCAAGATTTACATGGTTACTCATAAAGGTGGCAAAAAAAAGCCATCACCATTTCCGGTATGCTCAGTTTGCTTTCATAAATATTTCCTAATATTCAACAACGATCTTCTCATCGACAGGAATGGTCTCTGCATAAGCACACGTTAGCCTGTGTAGCATACATGATTCATCATCCCTGAGGATTGTACAGTTGGCAGTTGTTGATAAATCAATAAACTGTTTTTATATTTAAAAAATCTTGACTGAATTCCTACTGTGCTTGGGCCTTGCTACTGTTGCAGGTTTTTAAGGAATTATTTGGTATTTAAATATAAGCTCATTCACTTCCCTGCCAAGAGTTAGATGAGAAGATTGACACAAATCCTGTGACTCATGTTCAGTAAATATGAAGCTACATTCAGCAGCCAGTGAGCTTAGGTTTGCAGAAAGATGGAAAACGGGGAAATAACTTTCGCCTTGCCATGTTTCAAAGTAACAATATCTCCTATCAATGTCCTGGTTCATTAATTTAGGGGTTGCCTAGCAACAAGTTGTGATTACTATCCCACAGGAAGTGACTACCTCTGGCCAAGAAGTAGATTACAGCAGGGCTGGTTTTTGTTTTAAAGGCAAACTTGGAAGTTAGCATTACCTTTCAAAATAATGGATCCTTTGCACTTATTTTCAGGTTCTTCAATGCATTTGATGCACACAGGCCATCTGTGTTCTGATTAAACATTGAGGTATAATGTGTTGATCTGTAAGCTTTATATGTTCATAAAAAGTTGCCAAGCAGCTTCCTCCTCTACATTATGCTAAGCTGAGTGTGCTAAATGGTGACTGTAGCCTGTAGCTTTACATCGACTTTAAATACAGTAGTGTCAATCTTGATTAACACAGCAAAAAAAAAATGTTTACACTTTCCTTAAATGTCAATCATTTGCTTGCTGTAAGTAAAGCAGATTTAGATTTATAAATGCGTATTGGATTTCATGCTACAATGGGACAGGGTTGAACCATAGACTGTAAACAATAGTGGACGAATCATGAGTGATGTCACCCCCTGGTTTCTGAAGGGCTGTTTTGGAAGCCTGTCCAACGCGGTTACAATATTGAAAATGCTGACTCAAGCTTTTGGTCAACCTAACGACAGGCAAAGAGCAGGAGCTGAGGCGGGCCTTAAGCCTCATGACCAACCGCTACAACGCTGTTGCTTGAAGTCAGATCTGTCACGCCCATCATTATGCGTACTCGTATCCTTTATTTAACCAAAATGGGTGAGTTATAAAATGTGTTGATGTGATGGGTGCTTGTTGGCTCAAATTCTAACCATGTATGGGTTCATGTAGAACTTCACTGCTACTGAGGGCAATGCTAACTTCTGTTGCCCTTTGGTCTGGTTCTCGGTTTGGTTCACACTAACTTCCAGACTCTCCTTGACAGTAAATGGATGTTCATTAGTAAATGGCTTCGAATGTGTCCAGATAGTGCCCAAATATTACCAGGTTTTTCATTAATATTAGAGAGATGAACTTCCAAATAGTGGTCAATGAGACCAACAGCTCTTTTTGTACGGTTGTTGTATCAATGTATTTTGGCAGCACTGAAACACACGGCCGTCTCAGAGTGATACAATGAGGCAGAGTTTTTATGTGGCCCCACTTCAGAATGCTGACGCAAACACTGCTCGAGCTCTTTGAGTGGTCTTTTGCTAGTTGAGTACTTTTGGGCAGGATGAGGTGAATGGCCCAGTCCTTCCACTCCAGTACGAGACTCTTCTAGGACTCTGTGCATGAAGCTGTGAGCCCTTCATATGGCTGCCTCTTCAGCGATGTTATTGTTAGATTTTAAAAGCGGGGCCGGATGCTTTCAGCATGGAGCCAGCCGCCATGCTCTGCTCTCACAGGCTCATTTGTTAAAGGCTATAGTCTTTCTTTTCCCACATTGCTGAAGTGTGTACTTCCTGTGGGCATTTGTAGCTTAAGCTCCTTTCTCAAGTAGAATTTTCTTCCTCACTTAATCAAACAGTGGAATATCTGCAGATGAAAGGTTGTAGCTTCTGAGTGCCTATTGCTGGACACTGAGGGGGTCATTGTCTCGCCTTCCGCTGATCTACCTCTCAATGGAGGGCTTTCAGCAGGTTCTCATGCAAAAGCCCATGCTGCCCTGTTCTATTTAGAGTGGCTACAGTGCAGACTCAAAATTGGATGCCCTAAGTGTTTTACAGCAGCTCTTCACATACATAGTCCAATTGTCAATTGTTAAAGCCAAGATTCTAAGACCATACAGAAATTCAACAGGGGACAGTAAATGCCAGAATATGGCTTTGCACATGCAAACCACTGTGTGAATTTTGTCCGTGTGTGTTCGTTGCCAGGCATTGATCACAGTCCACCACAATTCTGGCTGGTTCTTTTGGCTGGCATTTTGTTTTCCACCCTCCCCCATCCATCACACAGAGAATCAGGATTTTTTTCTTTTTTTTCCCAACAGCGAGGGACTGGCACCGTGCTGAAATGCAGAATAATAATCCCCTAATCACCTGAGTATTGCCAGTCCTGGGTTTTATCTGCAACTGATGTGAAAGCCCCCAGTGCCTAGTGATTACAGCATTTGATCTGGGTAATAATGTCTTCACTGTTGCCCTGCTTAGGGCCCAAAGGCAGTGGCGCTCTAATCCACAGTGCATTCTAGTGGAATCGCATTACACAAAGACCACCAGGGTTCTGCTCGAGAGAGAGAGGAGGGGTAGGGGATGGGGGGGGGGGGTGGGGGTTAAAGGAGGAGGTTGCCATGGAAACAAGCTTCTCTCTCTCTCTCTCTCTCATACTGACATACATGCACACATACACACATAATACACACTCTCTCCTGGGATAGATAAGCAAAGGACAGGTTCTATGTTTACGTTCCATGGGCCCTCCAATCCTTGAGCAGGTTGAGCCCTGATAACACGAGGCCTGTACAGCCAGCAACCACTGTCAGCAGATAAGCACCCCAGCCGAGCAGAGCAGTCATCGCCCTCCAACCAGGATGAGCAAACCTCGGAGACCTGGATTCATTTGGATTAGGCTGGATTGCCACTGCCTTCCTCCGCTGCTGCTGCTTTTTGCTGCTGCGTTCAGACTACTGATGTTCACAGGACTTTCTACATGAGAACCCAATGTTACACATCACCCTGTCGAGCCTTTGGGCTTAGTGAGAGGACACGGGCACAGTATTGGACTGGATGCTATTTTAGATATCGAGGTCAAGGGACTGTCTGCACTGGGGCAGCTTTTTGCCACCGCAAATGGAGAGCTGTGAAGCTATAGAAAAACGTAATGACTTAATGAGTATGTTCACCACCTTCTGATGTCTGCTTTATTTGCAAAGGCCAGTTTGCACTGGAAGGCCCCAATACTATCGAGATACTCCTTTGTACTTGTTTCAAGTATGTAGTAAAACCCACTAATTCAATACCGAGAGTAATTACATTTGTATGATACTAATGCCCTAAGAAGGAACCAACAGGCTCTTTGATGTTGAGATCAAGACAACTACAAGTATTATTTTATTATGTGCATTATGCTAACATGCTAATTATATTTCCACACACATTCTTTGATTAAGGCACAGCTGGAGGTGCATAAGCAACATTACTAATTACAGAGGAAATTGTGGTATTGAGCTTAAGTGAGCTGAGTTTCCTCTTGGCCCATTCTTCTGCATTTGTGTTTACTTCTTAGATATCCTTTTTTTTATGTCTATAAATCCAATTAACAGCATGATCACATGCTCTGAAAAAAAGGGGCTGATTTCCTAAATAGTTCATATGGATTTATTTCAGTTTATGTCAATAATTAATGTTTGAGTTGATTAAACCCAAATTCCCAAAATGTTCATATTGCGCAGGTGTTTAATGGGTTTTGATGGAGGCTTTTTTGCAGATATTTATATTTAATTTACCTTTCTACCTCGCGAAGAGTTGTCATCATTGATATCTGACATGAAACATGCTAGCTAACAACAGGTGCTCCAGACACTAGGAAAGACTGCGGCAACCAACATTGAACCTTCAGTCAGTGTTTGATTTGATTTGATGTGACAACGGCTCCGATACATTTGAAATCAAACTTTGAAGAACTGACACATGGCAAATCAGAAAATCTAATCAAGCTAATTCATTTAGCTAACTGCTTTATTTAAGTGGATGAGCAGGGTTCTGATTCTGAACGCAAACTCATGACAGATTATTTGAAGTGTAACAGAGGTGCTGGAGTTTCTTTTCCAGATAGACGTGACAAAAGGATACAAAGGAATAATTTCATTAAAAGTTCATTGAGTGGAAGAAAGCTTTGAACAATTTAAATAAAGGATCCTTAATTCATTTCTTCCTTATGATGACATATATCCTGACAACAGTTGGACAAGATTTCTGTCTTAAAATGAAGTCACGAGTGCTCACTGTAGATTGACTAGTTTGCAGAAAAGATAATATTATGAATTATCATCAGAATAATTTAACTTTCTTGTATGTGACAGGATACACTGGATCTTTTACTTTCATCCCAGCGAATGCTCTCATCTTTCTGTTGTTCTTGTGTACTATAGTCATCAGTGTCGAGGTAAAGCCTGCACTCTAAAAAAAAAAAGGGTATACTTTGATCACAAGATTGCCCGCCCTTGTCTCTTGGCTTTTTGGAAAGCTCTTACACGTATAAGTAGTGAAGAGGCTCCATGATCTCTGTGCTGAAGAGCTCAGTCTGTCCAAATACTCTGTTGTGAGGCTCAAGTGTTATTCTCTGCTGCAAAGTGATATGTTTGCTATCATGTTGTGGAGTGAGCAGACACACCTAAGGCCTCTGGAGTGGGACATTGTTTTTTAACTGGACTGCTGTTATATAAAATCTAAGTTATTGGCTATATTCTTTAGGGGCTTTAGCTAAATGTAGTTAGTTTGTTGATTAGTCTTCTACATATTTGTGGGATTGTATAGACATACTTTTCCATAGCCCAAGGTTATCCACTCTGATGTTTTGATTTCTTCAATCAATATTATAAAACCGGAGGTTTTGAGTTTGCTGATTTTGCTGCAGTTTTGTTATAATATAAAAATCGAAGCATTTGGAGAGCGCATAAAAAGTAATTGAATTATATGCGTTAAAATGAGTTAAATCATGAGTCCCTGTATTAAAAAGTTGGCAGTTTAATAACACACACAACACATGGTTTTTCTTTTGATCTTTCTTGTCAGTAACCATATGGATGATTATAT